CCTCAGGTGTGTTATTCTTTTGGTGTCCTGGGCAATGAATGACTGCTATCATTTTTGGCATCCATATGACTTTTAACAAATCAGTGATCTCTTGTTTGTTTTTGATAGTCCTTCCTTCTGATGTCAGGAGGCCTTTTTCTCGATAGATGGCTCCATGTACATGAACAATGGCAAAGCATATCTACTGTCAGTGTAAATGCTGACAGTCTTACCCTCTCCCAGTCTTAGTGCCTGAATCAAAGCTATCAGTTCAGCCTTTTGAGCAGAGGTTCCTTTTGGCAGGGCTTCTGCCCATAGAATATTCTTCTGAGTGACTACTGCTGCTCCTGCATACCTGACTCCATCTTTTATGTAACTACTCCCATCTGTGTACATCTCCAAGTCAGAGTTCTTCCATGGTATGTTGGTGAGATCACGTTGGCTTCCCTGGACATGCTGCAGCAGTTCAGAACAATCATGATGCACAGTTGTCTCAGACTCAGTCTCAGGAAGCAGGGATGCAGGGTTTAAGGCACTGGTCACTGCGTATGTCAGGCGGGGAATATCTTCTTCCATTTGTTCTCAGGCAGGGTGGGCCAGCAGCAGCAACAAACCCACAGGCAGCCTCCCTCTTGCTTCCTCCCAGTGGCACCAAGGCAGCGGGTGGGCGGGAGATCCTGGCGGGGGCAGGGCAGCAGCAACAACTAATACCCCAGGCGTTGAAGTTCCTTCAACAAGTCTTTTGTCCTGCAAAACCTGGCTGACTTTTGACAAATTTGTAGGCCTTTTTGTAGCGGCCTGGAGACCCCCCATAAGAATCTGGCAATAGAGTCTGAGTGACTCCCTACCTGCAGGGGTGTTGGGATCCCAATCTGGGCAGCGACAGGGGAAAATTCCTCAATCATCTCAGGATCCTCAGTAAATGGGCCACTTTCGGCCGGTACCATTTCTGGGCCTCAGAAAGGATCTGGGTGCATTCCTCAGTGGTGAAGAGGGTGAGAAGGAGTTGTTGGACATCATCTGAGGTGGGCTGGTGAGCTCAACCATTTGGGAGGTTTGTCCAAAAGGTAAAAGTAACCCATGACATAAGGAACCTGATCAGGGTGTCCTGGGCTTCCAAAGATCACGACCTGAAGAGAAGAAGCTTGTTAATCTCAAAGGAACCAGTAGAGGGCCATCCTTCATCAAAGGATGGCCATTCAAGAGAACAGAGGGTTTGGAATTTCCCCGAATAAACAGTGTCTCCAGAGATTGCAGCTGCTTTTTGGAAATCTTTAAAATGAGAAAGAATTAGGTCAAGGGGAGTATCTTCAGATGAAGGACTTTGACCCATAATGGGAAAGAAGAGGATTAATCCAAAACAAAAACCAATGAGAACCAGACAAACAGGAAACAAAGACTTGACACCAGGATGACATAGAACAAAAGTGCTGCATGTTGGGGAATCACTGCGTGTTTGATGGTCACCGCAGGAGTGACTAGGGTCGATGCCAAATGCCCGGAGGCCACAGACTGTCAATCAATCAGATGGAGGGTCAGGGCATCCTCCATCCTCTGGCTCAGAGAGCAATACTGCATCCAGTTTCTCTCCTTTGAGCCCCCAGAAGTCCAGACAGTCAGAACAGAACCCAAAACAGACTCACCGTGGGAGGAATCAGAGCTGAAGTCTCCAGGTGCCAGACAGAGGACAGAAAAAGGCAGGAAAACAGACTAAGGGTTTTCTGGGGATCCCAGACGAGCCCCCAAAAATGTTCGGCATCCGAAAACTTCCCTGAATTGACCACTTGGACACTGAGTCTCAGTAAAAAGAAGCACTTTATTGGAGCCAACCGGTTGGGGACACAGACGGGCTCGGGAGCTGTACTGCGACCCCGAGCAGTAAAAACACAGGGCTTTTAAGCATAAAAACCAAAAAGCAGGGGATTTCTATAGAAACCATACACAGAATAACCAGGAAAAGATTTGAACAATCTAGGGCTGATTTCCAGAGCCTTAACCTATACAGCCATTGGCTAGCTTACCTGGGGCAGAACATTCTTCCTCTTCTGCCCCAGACCATTCCCATAGAAACCATGAACAGATGATGTGCGAGGAAAGGGTTTGAACAATGGAGGGGATTTCAAGAGTCAGGTGGAGGGCAGTGTTTTCTCAGAGGATAGGGAGGGGGTCTGAGAAGCACTCTCCTTCAAGACTTGTTTTATACCTAACACATGATCTGCCCTGGAGAATATTCTCTGTGCGCTTGAAAAGATTGTCTATTCTGCTACTATTGGGTGGAATTTTCTGTGTATGTCTGTTAGGTCCATTTGGTCTTTAATACTGAAATCTGCTATTTCCTTATTGGTTTTCTCTCTGAATGATCTATCCATTGTTCAAAGTTGGGCACTGACATTTCCCAATATAATTATATTGCTGTCTGCTTCATCCTTCAGCTCTGTTAATGTTTGCTTTGTATATTTTGGGGCTCTGGTGTTGAGTACATGTATACTTACAATAGTCATATCCGCTTGATGACCTAATACCTTTATTATTATATAATAACCTTCTTTATTTGTTGCAGTAACTTTTGACTTAAAGTCCATTTTTTCTGATAACAGGTATAGCCATTCTTCCACTCCTCTAGTTACGATCTGCATAGACTATCTTTTTCCATCCCATCCCATTTACCTTATATGTATCTTTACTCATACAACCCATTTGGCTTCAGCAGATCAAACCCTTCACCAGTCAGGCTGGCCAGACAGTCTGAGTGGGCCAGCTGGCAAGGTCTCAGGTAGGCAGGCTCTGTGCCCTGGTCTGATGCCAGGGTCCAGTGGGTTGATATGTGGGGTGCCTGGAACCAATGTCTATAGAAGCCACCCCAACACAGAAGTCCACTGGAGTAGGCCTGGTAGCTGGGATCTTGGGGCAGACCTTAAGCAGGTGTCTTTTTTTTTTTTTTTTTCCTCCAAACTACAGTTTGGGGTTAAGCAGGTGTCTTAAATACAGGACTAGAGCTGGGCGTGGTGGCACACGCCTTTAATCCCAGCACTCAGGAGGCAGAGGCAGGCAGATCTCTGTGAGTTCAAGGCCAGCCTGGTCTCCATAGTGAATCCAGGCCAGCTGGGGCTACAGGGAGACCCTGTCTCAAAAGAAAAAAGTGGAACAGATATATATTAACTGTCCTGGCTTCCTCACCTGGCATGAAGTGCTATCCAAGAAGTACTTAGAGATGGAAAATACAGGACTACATTTTTACTTTGAATAACCATCACAGTTTGTACTTTGTCTGAAAGATGCCATGTGTTTATTTGAGTCAAGTCATACTTTAAACCTTAGTCATAGGCTTTGGTGTAATCTGGGAATAAAACAAATGCGCATTATACATAAAAAAATAATTAACTTCCAAATAAATGGATACGTTTGAGAATCAGGAGTATTCCACTGAGCTGACAACTTAAGAACAAAATACTAAATGAAGTCTGGCATGGGGGCAGGGTACACCTTTAATCCCAGCACTGGAGAGGCAGAGACAGGCAAATCTCTGAGATAGAGGCCATCTTAGCCTACCTAGGGAGTTCCAGGCTAGCTGGAACTACAGGGAGACCCTGTCTCAGTAGCGAAGTATTAGACTTCCAGGCCACTGGAGGCTTGCTCACGTGAGCCTGTGGCAGCAGTGATCAAGTGCAGGACCCATGTCAGCTCAATTAAACAAGGGTCCAAAGGGGAGGTGAGAAATAGGTGGTGGGCCAACACTAGATCGAGAGCTATTTGAGACTGATTGCTGCTGGGTAAGGGAGAGTATGACTCACATACGACCACTGGATGGGCTGACTAGACTCCAGTGGACGCATTTACACTGAAGGACAAATACCTGGATAAATAGGACTTAGCATGTATGGCAGAGTGCATAGGGTTTGGTGGGAGGATAGGGGGAAGCATGGATGGGGGAGGGGGATCTGGATTTAAGTGGGAAATAGTGTATGAAATTTTAAAAGCACAATTAAGAAAAAAAAAAACCAACCTAACAAAAACCAAGAGACTCAGAAGAAATAGGCAAAAGATATGGACATTCTCTAGAAAAAGAAAATACACAGCTAACGAACATATGAAAATATGTTCAACATGACTTAGTTAAAAAATCAAAATCAGGGCCTGGAGAGATGGCTCAGCAGTTAAGAGCACTGACTGACTGCTCTTACAAAGGACCTAGGTTCACTTCCCACCACCCACATGGTGGCTAACAACTGTCCATAACTCCAGTTCCAGGAGATCTGATGCCCTCTTTTGATTTCTGTGGGCACTGAATGACATGGGTGCACTTACATACATGTAGGCAATACACTCATACACATAAAATAAAAATATATTTTTTGAAAGACAAATACTGTATGATTTCATTTATAGAAGGAACCCAAGAGTAGTCCAATGTATACAGAATGTAGAATTGTGGTTTTTAGGTATACAGGGAGAAAGAAGAGGGGACTTGTTGCTTAAAAAGTGATAGTTTTCCTCTATGAGATTGAGGCCAGCCTAGTATACATAGTTACATGCCAGCCAGGGCTTACATAATGAGACCCTGTCTCAAAAAAAAAAAAAAAAAAAAAACAAACCTAAAATTATGGTATAAAGACCCCCTTCCCTTCTTTGCCAAGGGACGAAGGGTCAGAGGTATATTTCCTTACTCTAGAATCAGCTCCTTGGTGTTCCCTCGTTTTCCCTAGACTCTCATCTCTTACAGTTGTATGTTTTATTTCAAATGACAATAATTTTTTTCTTTTGACAAAAAAAAAATGATAGTTTTCATTTTGCAAGATGCAAATCTTCTGAAAACTGATTGCTCAATGGTAAGAAGATGCCTAGCATATAATTAGAAAGCTAAGATAGTAAAGTTTACTAAATGAACTTTACTACAGTTTAAGAAAAAATATCATCCCACTGAGGTTAAAATTTAATTTGAAGTTTTTTTTAGGAGGCTCTGGGAAATAAAGTAAGGACATTATGCCTTCGGTTTTAATCTGGGCTTTGGTTTCTTTTCACAGTGTAGCCTTCATATTCATGCTTCTTACAGCATCTCCCAGAAGCTGAATGTTCCGATGGCCCCACTTTCAGAGCCTAATGCTGTGGGCATAGTCATCGCTCATGGTAAGGAGCCCTCCCTCTCACCATCATGGACAGAAGTGGCTGAGATCAAGGTGACAGCACAGCCTTTCGCCCAATGAGAAAAACCATAGCAGGTGGATTTGTGTTCTAGTCTCCTTGTAGCTGTGATAAACCACTCTGACCTAGGGAGGAAAGGGTTTTCATCTCATGTAGAAACCATGAAAGAATGCTGTTTCCTGGTTTGCTCACTCACAGGCTAGTGTTTAGCTAAGTTTTATTCAGCTCAGGACCACCTGACTAAAAATGATGCTGCTTACAGTGGGCTGGACCCTCTCCACATCAGTCATCAAGACAGTTTCTCATGAACATGACCACAGGCCAGTCTGATCTGGGTAATCCCCCAACTGAGACTCCCTCAGATGGCTCTACATTGTGTCAAGTTGACAGGTAAAGCTATCTAGGACATTCCTTTGATAGAATTTCTTGCATTATAACAGTACTTTGGGTTTTCAATAGACTCTCAGCGGAGAGAGCAACACTCAAGCTTTGATGACCTTCTTTCTACAGTAACAGCCTTGATGAAAAATGACCAGAAGAAATTCATACAAAAGCATTCTTTCGTCTGTAAATCCTCTGCTCCATTGCCAGTATGTGCTGATGGTCAGTTATTTTACAGGTAGCGTGGGGGATGCCATATCAGTGATGGTCCCAGACGTGTACATCTCCGATGATGGAGGTTACTCCTGGGCAAAGATGCTGGAAGGACCCCACTATTACACCATTCTGGATTCCGGAGGCATCATCGTGGCCATTGAGCACAGCAACCGTCCTATCAATGTGATTAAGTATGCATGCTCTTGCTCCCTACACAGATTTGTGAAAAGGGCAGTGGTGGGGATGTCCTCAGGTTTACTTTAGGAAGAGCCACAGACCCTGATTCACATTTTTAGATTCTGTAGAACTTTAGCAAAGACTCTCAAAGGGATTATGTTGAGAGCAACTTGGATCAGGAGACACTGACATTGCTTTTTCCATGGATTCCTCTTAGCTACACATTTTTTCACTTTAAAAAAATCTTCACTGGTTGTGATGGCGCACACATTTAATCCCAGCACTTGGGAGGCAGAGGCAGATGAATCTCTCTAAGACATGCCTGATCTATAGAGTGAGTTCCAGGCTAGCCAGAGCTACATAGTGAGACCCTACCTTAAAAAAAAAAAAATCTTGCCAGGTATGGTGGCATGCACTTTTAATCCTAGCACTCAAGAGGCAGAAGCAGGCAGACCTCTGTGAGATTGAGGCCAGCCAGGTCTTCTCAGCAAGTTCCAGGTCAGCTGGGGCTACAGGGAGATTCTGTCTAAAAAAAAATTCTTGGACCAGCAAGATGACTCAGCAGGTAAAAGTGCTCATTGCCAAGCGTGATAACCTGAGTTCAATCCCTGGAACCCACATGGTGGAAGGAAAGAATCAATTCCCTCTCTCTGACCTCCATATGTATGCTATAGCATGCCCCCAACTAAATAAATAAATGGAAAACATTTTAAGATAGCATTCTTTCTCTCCATAAAACTGTAGAAATGTCCAAGCATTCTGGATTAGAAATGACTTAAGTACACATTTTGAAATAAAATTATATGCATTATTTCTATTCTAAATTATTATAAATTTGTAACTAATTTATTAATTTAGAAACTCGTTCATACCTAGGTCACTACTCTTTCCCTTGAAAGAGTGTATGTTTACTTCCATGCATTCTGTGAATGAATCCTTTTAACTGAAAGTATTGAAAATTAATTAGCTGGGTGTGGTGGTGCACACCTTTTATCCCAGCACTGGGGAGGCTGGGGTAGGTGGGTCTCTGTGAGTTCAAGGACAGCCTGATCTACATAGAAAGTTCCAGGCCAAGTGGGGCTACAGAGAAACCCTGTCTCAAAAAAGACCAAAAAAAAAAGAAAAAGTAATTGTCAGACACTAAGCCATCCTCTGAATACATAGATACTCTGCTCTGGTTAGGAGTCAGCCAGAGTGCTTTCCTGATAGTCCCAGTCCACGCTGGTCCTCTGTCATGATCCTTCTGTAACTGCATTTTCAGGTTCTCCACAGATGAAGGTCAATGCTGGCAAACCTACATGTTCACACAAGAACCCATCTACTTCACTGGCCTCGCTTCAGAGCCTGGAGCCAGGTCCATGAACATCAGCATTTGGGGATTCACAGAATCTTTCATAACCCGCCAGTGGATTTCCTACACAATTGATTTTAAAGATATCCTTGAAAGGAACTGTGAGTGTCACCTTTGGAATTTTCTGCCGGAAATTTGTAAGCTGCCTTTCCCAAAAAACCCCTTGAGTTTACTATCTTTCTGCTGGAATAAACAAATGCATATGCTTATGAAAGGGTACTCTGTGTGGGTAGTCCAACAGTGGAGTCAGAAGAGTGGTTTCCTTCTTGGGACTAGCACTGTCCAAAAGAAATATGACAGTCATATGTATAATTTAAATTATCCTTTCAGCTACATTATAAAATAAAAAAGGTGAAATGCATTTTAGTGTAGAATAGGCTGGGCGTGATGGCACATGCCTTTAATCCTAGCTCCCAGGAGGCAGAGGCAGGCGATCTCTGTGAGCCAGCCTGATCTCATAGTGAGTTCCAGGCCAGTGGGGCTACAGAGAGACCCTGTCTCAAAAAGGCCAAAAAAAAAAAAAAACCCCACTAAAATTTATACATTTTAGTGATAGAATTATGTGCATATATGTGTGTGTGTGCGTGCATGTGTGTGTATCCAAAATATATCAGCATATAAACAATATTAAAAATTTTTGAGATGGATTACCTTTTTTTTCTAAGTCATAACACCTCTAGCAGGTCTCAGTTCAGACCAGCCATGCGTGGCTGGGCCTGCCATGTAAGACAGTGTAGCTTTGCACTGTAGGAAAGATCTTTTGTACCATGTATGGGACATTTTTCCAGCTCTTAAGAATAGAACATGTGTGTGTGTTTATCTAAAATTATTTCCTAACATTTGGGGGTTTCACTCCTCATTAGACAAATGCAGTGAAAATGTAAAGAGGAAACTTTAGAGAAAAGTGTTTGCAAGGTCCTTTCATTGACTGCCACTTCTCAAATTTGAAGGGAGGGGGTTCGTGTGTAGAGATTTGGTTTGAACATTAGTCCCAGCTGAGGCTCTAGAATGGGAGGTGTGAAGCCCATGGGATCCTCCACAGAGTACCATGATTTCATACTCAAGACACTGTTCAGGCCCAGAAAAGAACATTAGGAAAGTCATGATGCCCAGTGCCTGGTATGCTCAGAGTGTCCAAAGCAAATCTAGTGCCAAAGATGTTGATATTAGACTGAGAAACACATAGACCAAAAGAAACAGTGGAGGAAAATCATCCCTACTTACATGTTGGTACAATAAAATCCAGGGCTTAAACGTTGAAGTCATTTTTGTTGAGGGTCCCTCTCTTCTGTGTTAATCCAGTGACTCCTGAGGAAGCAGAATTCTCAGTCTCCACTTCTCTTATAAGACTTTTAAGTGTGATTTAAGACCTGGGGACTCTTGTCATCTAAGTGCAGCAAGGAAAGCATTAGGAACTGGTTTGTGAGTTTACCCCTGAACAGGCAATTCTGCAGTTATTTCTAAAGTTTAACATTGTTTAGACTCATTAAGTACCTGCTCCCTAACAGGCTCGCTGCTGCTTTGTATCCCAAACCCATATCACATTCTTTAGGGTCTAGCCTTTGAGTCTTCTCCTAGGAGTGGATGATGTAGTATACTCAACTAGAAACAAATGTCAACAATCTACTTTTGAGAGCCCATAGGCTCAAGAGAGAAGCCTAGAAAGAGGCTGTTTTCCCTTCTGTTTGAAGCCAGTGTTACACATGGTAACACTGAACATGTGTTCTTGGCTTGTTAGTCTCTTCTACTAAGGAGCCATGACTGCTTATCTCTGACAGCTCCTGGGGATAGAGGGCCCAGGCAATGAAGGCAGACATCAGCCTCTTTGGAAGGGGCTCTAATCATTCTCTGTACAGCCTCACTTCAAAGCAGATGAGGTTTCTCCTAATCCTCCCACTAACAGAAAAATGAAAGGAGTTCTCTTTTGCCATAAGGAAATGCAGTTGCTAGTAGGCTCTAGACTAAAGCAACTTTGTGTTTGCAACTCCAGGTTGAAGCAATAGATTGAGTCAGACATTCCCACCTACCTTTCCTCTCCTCATTCTTCCCTTAGCCTGGCAACTGCCTCCTTCATGTTGGTGGGCTGTGTGCTGTGCAGCTTCCTGAATAGTCTGTGTCCTCTAGGTGATGAGAAGGACTATGCCATATGGCTGGCGCACTCCACAGACCCTGGAGATTACGAAGATGGCTGCATTTTGGGCTATAAAGAACAGTTCCTACGGCTACGCAAGTCATCTGTCTGTCAGAATGGTCGAGACTATGTTGTGACCAAGCAGCCATCCGTCTGTTCCTGTTCCCTGGAGGACTTCCTCTGGTATCAGCACTCCTCAGATTCCTCTCAGCCCTGGTCCCATATGGGAGGAGGTGAAGGATAGTTGTCTTACAGGCTAAAAGAAAAAATACTGAAATCCTTTTCCCCACGATTGAATAACATCTCCTTTTTATCAAGGGAAATGAAGTATGCAGAGAAAGGAGACCAGTGTTAATAACAACGGGACAGATTATATAATCGTACTGGACAGTTAGTCATTGGGCAGAACCAGCAACTAACCCTAGAGAGCCTATGGTGAGAAGGATAAAAGTTATATAAGAAGGAAGAGGATCTGGCATGTAATTTAGCGGTAGAGTGTTTGCCTAGCATGCATGAAACCATGAGTTCAATGTTCAATTCCTGTCACCACATGAAGCAGACATGATGGTGCATGCTTGTAATCTCAGCACACCTGCCATAGAGATAAGGCAGGTAAGGGATAGGTATGGAGTAAAAGATGGGATATATTTTGACTATTTTATTACTTTGAAGTTCTGTGAGCACATTTGGGAGGGGTCATTTCTAGAAGGTATTTGACTACAAAAGATTAGATCCAAGGAGCTGGAGAGATGGCTCAGCAGTTAAGGGCACTGACTGCCCTTGCAGAGGACCCAGGTTCAGTTCCCAGCACCCACATGGTGGCTAACAACCATCTATAACTCCAGTTCCAGGAGAATCTGATGCCTCTCTTCTGCCTTCAATGGGTATTGCACAACATGGGTGTGCTTACATACATGTAGGCAATACACTCATACACATAAAATAAAAATAATAAAATATTTTTTAAAAAAGATTGGAACTGAAAGAGGTAAAACCCAAATGTTTTAGCAGTAGCGGCAAACAGTTGTGGTCAGGAAGGGAAAGAAGATATAAAGTAGCAGGACAAATTATATAACATTGAAAAGGTGTACAAGGAAGAAAGAGCATAGAGTGGTCCCAGAAGCACACCAGTGAGGCTTTGCCAATGCTGAGACAGGTGCTAGGTGTGCAGGTGGTCAGGGTGACCGAGTCCAGCAAGGCCGTCACTGAGTTTGATGACCAGAAATCCTGTGGAGCTTTGGGCATCCATTTCCAAGACTGCAGAGTATTAAAGCCAAAATGCACGAAATAAAAAGTAAATGAGGGGCTGGGGATGTAGTTCAGTGGTAGAGTATTTGCCTAGGACTTATAAGGCTCTGAGTTCCACCCCCAGCACGGGGGTGAGTAAAATAAAGCAATTAAAAGTATTTTAAGAAATTTGGCTACGAGGCTGGAAAGATGGCTCCATGGTTAAGAACACTAGCTGTTCTTGCAGAAGACCCAGGTTCAAATCGTAGCACCCACATGGCAGCTAACAACTGTCCGTAACTCCAGTTCCAGGGGATCTGACAGCCTCTTCTGTCCTCTGCAAGCATTGCATGACATGGGTGCACTTACCTACATGTGGGCAATACACAAATAGACATAAAATAAAAATAATAAATAAAATTTAAAAACAGAAAAGAAATTTGGCTAGAAGCCGGAGACACAGCTCAGTGGTAAAGCACTTGCCTAGCATATATGTACAAGGCCCTGGGTGTAACTGAAATGCAAGAGAGAGAAAGGGGCAGAGAGGGAAAAAGAGAGAAAAAGAGATTTGTCTAAAAAAAGAGATAAGGAAGTCATTTCTATGGTAGAAACATACTTTGGCTAAGGAAAAGCCACTGGTTGAGTGGGAAAGATTGGCTGTCCTTTCTCATACCCTGTAGGATACAAGGAGCCAGGGTGGGTAGAAAAGCTGGATGCTGCATGGGGGTCAGCCTTGGAGAACAGGCAGGATCTTTTTCCTTGGGGAAAACAGACAGGAGAGGAGAGGAGAGGTACAGCAATGAGATGGGAAGGAATGGAGATGAGGAGGGTCTGGGCTTGAGAGATGGCTCCGTGGGTAAAGCGCTGTGCAAGCATGAGGAGGCAAGACCTCCACATGACATTTGGGGGTAAGGAAAAGAGCTGCTAAGTGTCCCTAAATTTAGATCTGCTGCTAATGCCACTGTGGCCCCTCTTTGTCTTAGAGATCAAGTACCCTGACCTGCTGTAAACTATGCTCAGTCCCTTTCCTGAGCCTGAGCTGTCTGTGGGACTCACACTCTTGGGGTTTTAGCTACTTCTGAATCTACCAGGCCTGATTCATAAGACTTTCATTTTTCCTCCTCAGTAAAGCCCTCTCCATGTCTGCTTTCCCAGTGGACTGAGTTTGCTTTTCATCATTATAATAAATACCTGAGATAACCAGTTTTAAAGAGAAAAGACGTATACAGAAGAAAGCCCACGATTAGGGGCTCTTTTGTTTTGGGCCTATGGTGATGCAGCACTTCAGAACTGAAACACATAGCAGGGCAAAATTTCTCTCCTTGTGGCCAAAACATGAGTGAAAAGAGAGAGAAAGGCTGGGGGCCACAGTGACCCAAAGACCTTCCACTAGGCCCTGCCTTTTAAAGATTCTACTGGCTCTCCTTAGCACCACTGGGGACCAAGCCTTTAACACAGTGGCCTTTGAAGGGGGCACCTAAGATCTCTAGCATGGACCTGCAAAGATGTCACAGTTCTCCCTGACCTATTTTCTGACAGTGATTCTCATCTCTATTATAATATTCTAGACTGTCATGTTAATTATCCACTACCCTGTGTAAAATCTTGATTTGCACCAGGTGTGGTGGCGCACGCCTTTAATCCCAGTACTCAGGAGGCAGAGGCAGGCAGATCTCTGTGAGTTCATCCTGGTCTACATAGTGAGTTCCAGGACAGCTGGGGCTACAGGGAGACCCTGTCTCAAAAAGACCAAAAAAATAAAAAATAAAATCTTGATTTGCTAGTCATGTGCTATCTTGTAGGCAACTTCAAAAGTTTTCTTATTGTTGATTCTTACAGTGATTTTGGCTACTTCCGTCCAGAAAATGCCTCAGAGTGTGTGGAACAGCCAGAACTGAAGGGGCACGACCTAGAGTTTTGTCTGTATGGAAGAGAAGAACACCTGACAACCACCGGGTAAGATGGCCAGTCCATGGTAAATGACTCCTCACAACTCCAAGTGAACTCTCCTCCTTGCACATATACTGAACAAGTAGTAGTCCCGAACATTCATGTAAGCACTGTCTAGTAGGCTTTCTGTGGTGGTAAACTTACCTGTCGTCTGCTGTGTCCAAATGACAGTTACTGGCCTCATGGTACAGTTGATTCTGGTGTGACTAAGGAACTGGGTTCTCCATTTTAAATTTATTTTCTTATTTATTTATTTTTATTTTCTGTGTATGAGTATTTTGCCTGTATGTGTATAATTGCACCCTTGTCAAGTAATGCCCATAGAGGCCAGAAGAGGGTATCAGACCCCTTGGAACTAGAGTTAGCGACAGTTGTTAGCCACCATGTAGGTGCTGGGAACTGAACTCCAGTCCTCTACAAGGGCAGCCACCTCTTAATCCCTGAGCCATCTCTCCAGTCCCTGGGCTTTTCATTTTAATGAATTTAGTTTCAATGGTGTCCTCAGGATACAGTAGGGCTCTAGAGGAACCTCTGACAGCTCCTCCAATAAACTTCTCCCATCTCCCAGTTTTGTTGATGAGCTTTCTCTGGTCACAGTTTTTGGCATAGTCTCAGGCTAGAAAGGGCAGACATCCCTGGCAGCAAGACACAGAGATACTAGGTCTTCAGGCCCTGAAACTATACAAAATATCCCCATGGACAGCCCTACCCACAGCTATGAAAGAGGATATGTCACTAACCATCACCCATTTTGCCTACTATATAATATTCCAATCATGAAACAATGAGCTTTGCAAAAAGAAGGGTTCCAGCTGGGCGTGGTAGTGCATGCCTTTAGTCCCAGCACCCGGGAGGCAGAGGCAAGCAGATCTCTGTGAATTCAAGGCCAGCCTGGTCTACATAGTGAGTTCCAGGACAGCTGGGGCTACAGGGAGACCATGTCCCAAAAAGACCAAAAAAAACCAAAAACAAACAAAAAACAGGGCTTCCTCATGAGGTAGGTAGCCAAGCATGTAGAAACCTGAGAATGAATTTCAAGTCCACTAAACAGGATGAAACTAGGCATGGCAGTACACACCTGTAATCCCAGCATTCAGGCAGTAGAGGTAGGAGAATCGCCTCGAGTTTGAGGATAGCCTCGGCTACACAGCTAGTCCTAGGCCAGTTAGTGCAAATAACAAAACCGGGTCTCAAAAAGAAAGGCAAGGAGGGAGAGGCAAGATGGCTTAAGCAGGCATAGGGGAAAGGTAATAGGAAGTTACTTCTTCACAGCTCATCCCTAAACAAACATACTTGGGCGTGATGGCACACACCTTTAATCCCAGCACTTGGGAGGCAGAGGCAGGTGAATCTCTGTGGGTTTGAGGCCAGCCTGGTCTACAAAGCAAGTTTCAGGCCAGCTGGGGCTACAGGAGACCCTGTCTCAAAAAGACTAAAAAAATAAAAAAATAAAACACATGTTCAGGGGGCTGGAGAGATAGCTCAGTGGTTAAGCACTGGCTGCTCTTACAGAGGACCCCAGGTTTGGTTCCCAAAACCCATACAGTGGCAAGCAACTGTCCATAACTCCTATTCCAGGGAAATCCAAAGCCCTCTTCTGACCTCTGAGGGCCTTGCATGACATGGGTGCACGTCATACATGCAGGCAATACATTCATATACATAAAATAAAAACAAATAAAATATTAAAAACAAGCATATACATGTTCAGAAAATGGGTGGTATTGCATAGGCTGGGGTTGGAGTTCCCGTGGCCCTTTAATGTCAAAAGCTCACCTATTAAATCATGAAAAAGGAAAGAAAAATCATACAGAAGATCTCAAATGAAGAGTGGTGGTTTCAACTAAAGTGGCCATTTGAGCCCTGAAAAGTAATCTAGGCAGCCATGACCATCGTGGCCCACAGATTGGAAGTGTTTCAACTAAGCTGGTGAGAAACAGCCACTTGGCCTCCAAAATTAGTGCTTTTTGCAGATAGTAGAATAAGTGGCTAGCAGCAAATAAAACTAGAGGTTTTAGTCAGACTTCCCTCAGTTTCCTTAATCAAGAAACCTTTCTGAATTTCCAAACATTGTTTTCTGGAAGTAGGCAAAAGTCCAGAAATATAGCCCAGAATACAAATTCTGCTTTAAAAACAACAAACAAAGCTAGGTGTGGTGGCACACACCTTTAGTCCCAGCACTTGGGAGGCAGAGGCAGAGGCAGGCTGATCTTTGTGAGTTCAGAGGCCAGCCTGGTCTAACTAGTGAGTTCCAGGACAGCTGGGGCTACAGGGAGACCCTGTCTCAAAAAGACCAAAAAAAGAAAAAGAAAAAAGAAAAAAACATGATGGTAAAAAATAATTAAAAAAAAAAAAACTTTAAAAAGGGGCTGGAGAGATGGCTTAGTGGTTAAGAACATGATTGTTCTTGCAGAAGACCCAGGTTCGAATCCCAGCACCTACATGGCAGCTAACAACTGTCCATAACTCCAGTTCCAAGGGATCTGACAGCCTCTTCTGTCTTCCACAGGCATTGCACAACACAGGTGTACTTATCTACACGGAGGCAATACATGCATACACATAAAATAAAAATAATTTTTAAAATGCCGATGGTTCATATGTACAAACTAATACAAACAGAAATTCATCATATGGTTATTTCAATTGCTTGGCTTGACCTTTTAGCAATCTTTCATTTCCCTGGCTGTTCTTTAAGGAGATCTTTTGCCTAGAGCCCGATTTATTGATAAGTGTCTCTATTCTTTGTTACTGACAGTAGGCTTATATCTAGTACTAAAGTTTCTTCCCATGTGTCATTTTGGGGTTCAAGCCCACCTCTGTAATAGCCATCCCTGAAGATGGATTTTGGTAGACTTTGAGGAACTTGTTTTATGTGAGACTTCCACAGCTTGCCAGACAGAATGGCCTGAAAATCCTGCCCAACAGTGGTCAGGACAGCTGCTCCCACCATCCTGGCCATGGTTTGGGCTTGTCTCCCCTACCTCCACCCAGGAGTACCCCAGCCCGGAGGTCGTGGCTTCCAACTCCATGCCTTACCTAGAAAGCAACACAGTCACTACCAGCAAGCAAACCTGTGACCAAACCTCTGCCTTTCAGGTACCGGAAAATTCCTGGAGACAGATGCGAAGGTGGAATGAACCCAGCTCGGGAAGTGAAGGATTTGAAAAAGAAATGCACAAGCAATTTCTTGAATCCCATTAAGCAGGTATGTTAAAAAACAGGTACAGGTAGGGTTTCATCTTCTGCCAGGAAGTCAAAGTTAAAGCATCAAGAATTTGATACTGATACAAGGTGGCCAACTGCCTCTGTAGACCTCTTTACACTGGAAGCTGTTAGGATGAAGGACCTATCACATAACCTAGTGATAAGCTCATCCTGTCAAAAGCTGATGTTTGTGTTAGGGAAAATTGTGTTACATAAAGTTGAAAAGTCCTAGGAGCATGGAATTGTAAGGTGTTTCTGAGGCTCAGAGTCATTCAGGAAAAAGACTTAGGAAGGTAGCCGATCATGAGTGACAGATGCATATGTTGAACTATCACACTGTCTGTCCCCTGATATTGTAATTATTGCACGTTAATCAAAAATTTTAAAAATAAAAGGCCAGGGTTGGGGATGCAACTCAGTTGGTAGAGTGTTTGCCTAGCATGCACACAGCCCTAGGTTCAATCCCCAGCATCACTTAATCAGAGCATGAACACAGTGATCTACATATGCAATCCCAGCATAGGGGAAGTAGAGGGCAGGATCAGAAGTTCAAGGTTAGCCTTGGTTACATAGTTTGAAGTCAGCCTGGGCTGCACAAGACCCTGTTTCAAAAACAAGCAACTAAACCAACCTCTGGGAAAAATTAATCGCAAAAATAAAATTAAAAAGCTAATAAAGGGCCATGACCTGCTGATTTGCACACACAGAGCCCTGGACTGTTTGAGTAGAGTAGATCTTTGTTCTGAATCATGTCAAGTGTATTAAAAATGAAAAGCTCAAGTGTGGTCAGAACAGACTGCTTCGGATCTACAGGCAAGTCATAGGCTGATTATAAATTGTGGTACTGAACTGTCTGCTTGAGATCTGGAAACAGGTAACTGGAGAGACCTCTTGGTAAACAAGCACAGCGCCAGCATTGTGACTTGGGAGATGAGCTGTAGCCCCCCCCCCCACTTCCTAGTCTCTAATATGAGACTGAGCTCCATCCTCCTTTCTGCTTCCCCAGGGGTGAGACACCCACAAGGAAGGGGTGGGGCTCCAGGCAATTTGGGAAGAATGTGTGGGTGTGTGTATTTGTAAGGGGGCAAGTTCCTCCTTTTCTGCACCCCTGCCTGGACTGCTGGTGGCTGTCCTCAGAGTGTTTGTGTGTGTGATTGCACAGGACTCCCGCCCACAGGGACACAGCTTGTCCCAGAATCCAGCTCCGCCTCCTCTTGGATACACTGAAAACACACACTTCCCATCTCCCACCCAGACGCAGGTAGGTTACACAAAAACAGTGATCTACTGAGGCTTATTTGCAAAAACATGCCAAAAATGTAGTAAAAACATAAACCTTGGTGTGCAGTAATCCTGCCTGGCATTGCATTGACACACTTCTTCCCAGATAATGGCCTTGTTGCAGCTTCATTCAGCCTGCTATGATCACAGAATCCTTCCCTGCTCTACCCTTAAGCTCCAAAAGGGATGCCCTTGCATACTTGATTTGCCAGGCATGTCCAACCTGTGTCCTGTGGACCATGTATAGTTACATGTGGTCCAACACAAAATTGTAAACTTACTTTTAAAACACTTTGCGATTTTCTTTCTTTTTTTGTGTGTAACTTGGTTGTATAGTTCTCAAGCATGAACTTCGTAGATGAAGTATCATATTGTGTCAATTTGAGGCAGTGGCCCAGGTTTCCAGTGTAACTTTGCCATGGAAGCCCCCAAAGTCCAGCCCCTGGGCAGTTGGAGCTCAGATTCCCCTGTGCTGGCCGTGCTAGCCTCCTGATAACACTGAGATGGTTCATCTGGGGGGTTGAGAATACCCTCACTAAGTCACTCAGTGAAGTGAGGGGAGCGAGTGAGCGCTTTGAATGCAGTCCTAGACTATGCATACCTAATCGCTTTTGTGCTTGTGTTTTAATTTATCAAGAATTCCAAGTCGAGTTCTGTTCCCATTATCCTGGCTATCGTGGGATTGATGCTGGTCACAGTTGTGGCAGGAGTGCTCATTGTGAAGAAATATGTCTGTGGTGGAAGGTAAGGAATATGGAAGTGGGTCATAGGTACTGAATTCAAACCAAAAAGTCAACCCAATGCATGTGATTGAGTTCACTCTTGGCTGAAACTAGGTAGTTAAAGTGATATCCCTGAAAATTCAGGCCCATATCTTCTTGTACCTTAGATTTTTTGTATGGCAACTGTGTACTGTGCTGCCTGTCAGTGTGACTCACTCTATGAGTGTGTAAACTTGAAGAAAGCCTGTGCTATATGAAATACCCCCTATGCCGGGTGGTGGCACACCCTTAATCCTAGCACTCAGGAGACAGAGGCAGGCAGATCTCTGTGAGATCAAGGCCAGCCTGGTCTACATAGCAAGTTCAAAGCCAGCTGCAGCTATAGGGAGATACTATCTCAAAAGAAACCAAAGAGAGAGAAAGAGTGATAAAGAGAGAAAGAGAGGGAGAGGGAGGGAGAGAGGGAAGGAGAGGGAGGGAGACCCCCTACTCAGCTCAGGAGGCTAACCAGGGTCCTCTCCCCAGGTTCCTGGTGCACCGATACTCTGTGCTGCAGCAGCATGCAGAGGCCGATGGAGTGGATGCTTTGGACACGGCCTCCCATGCTAAAAGCGGTTATCATGATGATTCAGATGAGGTGAGACTGCCTCTTCTTGAGGAATTATCTAAAAATGTAAATTTCAAAAGGAGTTTTTCTTCTCATGATCAAGTTGCGATCAGAGCCCAGTCGTGCATGAGCTAGAAGCAGCACCTTCATGTCTGCAGGACCTGGCACACCTAGAAACTGATTACTTTCCAAATAGGAAGCTTTTGGTGTGATGGTAATACAGCATGTCTTTCTTTTCAGGACCTCCTGGAATAGCTCACCAGGAGCTGGGACAGAGCGCTGAAGGTTGAGCCACAGTACCTCCTAAATTCCTGCGGGCTCCGACTTGGGGAAATAAATTTCCCATTGTGACAGACCCAGCTCTATTTCTGCTGCTCCCACGCAAGGCGAAAGGACCCATAGTAAAGAAATGCAGGGTGGAGGTGGGGAGCCGGAACACTCTTACAGTTGTCTCTCAGAAGAGGGGGTGCAGTTTTTAAATTCTTTAATTTTTTATTTCAGGTTCTGTCTTTTGTTAAAGTATGGGCTTTGGTGTTTTGTTGTTTGTGTTTTAAGGGAAATGGAATGGGATTCAAAGGGATTGTTTCACTAACCCCACTGTTAGTGTTCTGCACGGTGCCCACCCCAGGGCATCTTGCCAACTCCAGCATCAACTCTCACATATTTGGTGCTGTCCCTGGGCTCAGCTGGCCATGGGACGCATCCAGACAGGAAAACAAAGGATGCGGTGACTGGCACTGCCTGGCCAGCTTTTCTCCATCTGTGGACAGCCCTGCCTGAAGGACACTGCGCACCAGCTCCTCGCACAGATCCTAGCTGCATCTTCCCCACCCCCCAACCCCAACCAGGACTATAGGCCCCAGTGATTTTTCTTTTCCCTTGTTTAATTAGGCAATACCCTTGTTAATGGCTCTTTGGCAACAAACTTCACCATGTGCTTCCAAGACACTAAATCAGGAAAACTTAACAGGGCAATATTTTTAACTTGGGGCAGGAAGAAGGGAGCAGCAGAGAATTGACTAGATTTAACACCTATTAAGGGCGAAACTCTGGCCGCTTTTGAGCACTTTCAAGCTGTGCTTTGTGTGTGTGCCAGTGGACTTGCTCAAGGACAGGGTGCAGGCTTGGCCTGGAAGCCTGCCCAGGCTCCCCCATCCCTTCACTGGAGTTCATTGTTGAGGGTATGCAATGCAGCCCCAGGACTTACTGCTGCTGTCTTCCATTATCCCTGTTGCCCATTTTGAAGGCCTCGCTGTTGAACTATCACCATGGCTGCTGATTCACTTCCTCCTAGACCGCTATTCATAGAACCAGGGATAGGGATGTCTTCAGATTTATATTCTTTATAAAAAAATCAAAATTATATTACCAGACTATCCTCATCCTTTCCCTAGTTTTGCCAAGGTGTTTGTTGGCTTGAAACTTTTGACTGAACCAACCGAAGACCCACCTCAACTGTATGTAAGGCCTTGGTTTCATGGTTTAAATATAAGGAAGTTTTCCATTTGACATTTTTCTAAATTAAATTATAGCATAGAGCTGGTAGATTTGGGGGTGGCCATCTAGTAAAGGACAGCAGTGAGCACTGATTTTAAGACAGCTTGATCCCTTGCTGTGCGGGCACATGGTGTGGTCGGTCCTTGGTCTCTATACCCAATTGATGCTATTTTGCTGCTAGTTTATTTCGTGCCTAGAAAGTCAGTAAAAGGTTAACGTGCCAAACTAACTTTGTCAGAATGCATGAACAGATGGCTAACTTCACTCCTCCCCAGAAAGGATGAACCAGCAGCAGGGAAAGAGGGGGAAGAAGTGGATGGAGAATATAGAGACATTGAATTGCAGTTAAATGAGTCAGGGAGCTTCTGTTAGAAAATGAAGTTAGGACCATTTCTGTGAGGAGAATTAATATTTGTTAGGGCCAGAATGCACTAGTCTGTTTAGCTCATTCATTTTCCATGGTTCTACAATTTAAAATAATTCCTGACACATCAGCTTATAAATAACCAATTTCAGCTTCGATCCCACCCTCACCTCCTATGCAAAGTGAAAAGACCAGTTTCCACCACACACAGTTTCCCAGCATATACCCAGCTAGATGCGGGTTGACATGCCAGCATGGGGCAGTCCTCTAACCACTGAAGATGAGGATTCTCTGCTCCAATAGTCCCTGTAATCTCTGTAGACATGGCGGTCTTCAGAGCACTAGCACTTACATTCTGTCTTTTGAGCTGCCACTGTTCTTGTGATAGGGCTCAGGAGCCAAAGTTGAGTCAGTCATGCAGGGTCCCTGTGCTGACTGGTTGTCTTCAGAGCTCTGAGACATGGTTATTGCCTTTCTCATAGGTGACTTGCTGATTTGAAGACAGGGATCAATGGCATTTGTTTCAGAGCATTATTTTAGCACCATTTTGTTTTCTTTTTGGAAAACAGAAAAATCGTATTCCCCTGCTTCATGGCTGAAAATAAAAGTAATAATGGTAATTTTGAACGTGTCTTCAGGAGCAGTCCCTTCCATTGTGGATGGTCACTGTTGGGGAGCACAAGTGAGTCTATGGATGGCTCTTTCTCTCCATCCTCCCATTTCCACCCTTTGTTAGCTGGCTCTGTTGACCATGGGACTACCCATCTGCTAGCTTTCAGTGACAGTCACACTCAGAAATGTGCTCCCTCAGTCAGAGGAAAACAGCCTAAGCTCTTTAGAGCTTCTAAAAAACAATAATTTCTGGTTTCTTCTGTTCAGCCTAGGAGCATAGTCATCACTAGTAAGCCTAGTTATCACTGTGTGAATTCTCAGCATAGTGGTGGCAGAGGGGATTATTTTCGGAGGCAGAAGAGCATTTAGCGTTGTTAGATAACTTGGACATGTCAGACAGACCATAGTGGCCTGAGCTTTAAAATCCAGAATTCACCCATCCTTCATCCTTGAGACCCTAGGGGCTTTTGGGTTTTCCTGAGTCCAGAGGCCAGGGCTGGATGTGCCTCAGCTGTAAGTTGAATGGAGCAGTGCTCAGAAGAGTAGAAGCCTTTGGAAACTTATGGCAGTTGCAGGTTGGGCTCAGGAGCTTTAATGGAATCTCTACAGCTGCACCTTAGAACTGCCATAGCTTGTCGGCACTCTGGTGTGTGTCCCTCTACTTTTGGCTTGCCTTTGGTCCTCTGCTTGCCCACCTTTCCTCTGTGGCAGTATAGTATTGCAGGCCACTCCTTGTCCAGCTTATAAACCATGACTGGACACAAATATTAAACCAATCCCTTTGTCAGGATACCAGATGCATGTCCATTCATACAAGCCCCATAGTGACAGGGCTGACCAGGCTTCACTCATTTTATTACTCTGTAAGTAAACTATCTAGGTAGAGTCTCTCTCTCTTCCCAGAGCTCTGAAGAGCCCTGCTCCCATGCGTGCTGGCCACCAGCTCACCTGCTTGTTGTCAGTTGAGCCCTTCAACTCCACATTAAGCTGGGATACTTGGAATTGCTAAAATGCGAAGGGATACAGCTTTTCAGCATTCTACCTAACCTTCCTTCCAGCAGGAAGATTAACGTGGATTTAAATGTTTTTTAAACAAAACCAAAGTTTAAGATTTGCCATATGATGTAGTGACAGGGAAGGCCAGAGTTGGCAAGCCAGACTTTATGTGCCATCGGTCAGTGCTTTGCCAGGTTCAGGTCACTCTGGGAGCACCATCCTGCCCTCACGAAGGGTCACTGAAATAACAGAAAAAGGTTGATTTCTTGGTTCCATACATTAGAACAATAAGAATTAGAACATTAATTTAATTTGAAATTGTCTTCAACAACTTGCTGTGTGCATTTTTTCACATCAGTACATTCTTATGCATCTGTTTATATGGAATAACACAGACTAATCTGTACCTTTATATATGTGTGTGTACATATATACATGTATAAACTGTATAGTGTACATGGTAATGATTTATTGGTATGCCCCAAATCTCTAGTGCAGTTCTCATCCTGCGCATGCCCTCAGCTGTGGTCATGTGACTTACAGTCCCCTGGGGGTTCTGCCACTCCCCTGTGTTTGGACCTCCAGGGAGGAGGGTTTGGGCTGCACACTCTTTCTCCTCGTGCACAGAAATGCTCAGGGTCCCCATGTGCCTGTCTTCCCTCCCTTATTTTTTGTTCCCTTTCTGAGCATGTGGTTCCTCCTCCAGCTTTGGAGGGGCAGCTGCCTTCCTAGGAAAGTGTAAAGCAGTAATACAGCCACTACTGCATGCGCACTAAAAACTCAAGATTTCTGTTTCCTTGGGACAGAAAAATTGCATGTGAGGTGGGATAATCAACTTTCAAAGACCCATGCCAACTACACGGCCAAGCCAGAACCTATAATGAAATCCCACAAAATGGAAATAAAACTCAAATTTCTTTAGCATTGTGTAAATAAATCTGGATGTGTTTAACTTTGTACTGGTAATTTTCTGTATATTTGCAATATTTGGGTTAGAAATAAAATAGACTGGACTTTGTTACCTGACCTACTAAGATGACTAAGCTAAGTTTGTTAACAGAACTTTTCCAGTTTTTTATCTTCAAAAATCAAAACTCCAGCAACCAGAGAAGCAAAAATTTTAAAAAGTCAGGACTGTGCATTTATAGTATGAGAGAGAGTCAATAATTTATAGGGGAAATGACTCCTAATTGAGTTTATTTGCCCATAAATTTCCTAATCTTGTCCTTTCCCTTTCTTTATGCTCATCAAGATCTGCCTTCCAGGGCCATGGAGGACCCTCTTTTGTTGTCACTTTCAGAAAGCCTAGCAGCCCCACCACACTTCCCCCAGGGTGTGTTGCTACACTTCTGGACACAACAGCATGTGGCTGCCCTCCTGAATCTGCTGTTCCCTGTAGCCAGTTTGGCAGAGAGCAACACGGGAGGTTTGCCTACAGCAGCTTTCTGTCTGCCTCCTTTAGGCTTGCTTCCCTTGCAGCTCTCACTATCCTTCAGAGTCCCAGCCTCCTGTTAGCCATTAGCCACCCTCCCCTGCCATGGGATAGCATTTTGAGCCACTCTTTCCATTTGGTACTCCCATGTTTCGGCCTGGAGATGCCACAGCAAAGCCCTTGATCTTTAGGGATTCTAACATATTCTAAGAGCCCCTGCACCAGAATCCGGCTAGTCTGGAACTTACTATGTAGCTCAGGCTGCCCTTAAATGCAAAGCAGTCCTCCTGCCTCTACTTCCTGAGTGCTGGGATTACAAGTGGGAGCCAGCATGCCCAACTCTGAATTGGACTTTCTGATGGGCAGACCTGAGGCATCTGCATTTTAAATTTGACTCTTTTTTAATATTTATTTTTACTTTATGTGCATGTAAGTGCACGTGTGTCGTACAGTGCCCACGGAGGTCAGAAGAGGGCATCTAATTCCCTGGAAAACCTAAATTTGATCTCTGGGACCCACAAGATGGAAGGAGAGAACTGATTCTGGAAAGTTGTCCTCTGACCTCCCATGTGCTCCATGATGTGCACGCATGTACGTACACACACACACACACACACACACACAAAATATAACTAATTTTGAAAAATCCAATGTGGTCAGCTCCTGAGGAATGATACCTGAGATTGATCTCTGGCCTCCACATATAAACACACACCTACCCACATAAAGAGGTCCCCTGGTTTGGGGGCTGCTGGTATTTCTAGGAGCCTGGGCTGGGTCAGGCTAGAGAAACAGATCTGAGAGATCTTTAAATTAGTTCTGGTATGACACAAGTTCAACTGTCTACCAATCAAACCACCCTCTTCAGCCATCCCAGTCCCCTATAAACAAATTCCTGACTCTGAAGTCTATCTACAGGTTGCAGTCACTGGGCTTCTATCATCCCAAGATAATAAGGACTCCTAGGGACCTACTAACTGCCCCTAAGTGGGGTACTAAAATCAGTAAGGAGCTCATTCACTCCACACTAATACTCCCTCCATGGGGTCAAAATAGAGGTAGGGGAGGGCTGTGTGTAAAGTCTACTTGAATTTTGCTATGACTCTAAAACTGCTCTCTCGCTCTCTCTCTCTCTCTCTCTCTCTCTCTCTCTCTCTCACACACACACACACACACACACACACACATATGGTTCAGTGGGTAAGGTCACTCACCACCAAACTTGATTACCTGAGTTCAATCCCCAGAATCCATCCAGTGGAAGAAGAGAGTCTACTGCAGCAAGTTGTCCTCTGACCTCTACATGCATGCTATGACATGCATGAGCACAGACATACGAATGTAATAAAAATCAATTTAATATAGAGGAATTACTGGCCCCTGGAATTAGGAAAGTGGGAATGCAATAGGAAACCAGATAATTTGGGTGGAAGTTACGATACATGTAGCACAGTAGTTGGATAAGCCTGGAACTCACAATGGGCCTTAAGCATTGTAGCTAGCACCTGCTGTGGACTGGCCATTCACCTACATTTTATTGTATCCTAGACACATCCTGGCATCACCATCCCTTGTTACATAGACCTGAGGTTCAGAACCGCCAGCTGGTGACCAAGTGGTACAGCCAGATGTCACACACCCGTGTCCCTGAGGAGCTCTCCTTCCTGTACCAGGTCGCCTCTCTCTTCATGTGCACTTTATCTCATAGGAAGGGAGCCACTGACAGCTTTCAAAGGGGGAAATGCTGGCCTGACATAAAAATAGCTTCCATTTATCAAGCACTTAGTCGGCTACATTCTGCTAAGCACTTTACAGAGATTACCTCTTTCAATCCTCACAACAACCCTATGGCTATTATCTCCATTTTACAGATGAAGAAACAGACTGAAGAGCGGGGATAGGGGTTGGCTGGCCATGTAGCTCAGTGGTAGAGTGCTTGCCTAGCAATCACTCTAGGCCCTAAGCTCAAGCCTCAGGTCAGAGAGAGAGAGAGAGAGAGAGAGGAGAGGGGAGGGCAAAGGAGGAGGGGTGGACAGAGACAGAGATAAAGATTGAGAGACACTATGGATTATCACTGGTTACAGAGCTAGCTGGTGATGGAGCTCAAGTGTAGCCAACATAGTCTGACTGCAGAGGACCAACTATACCCACCCCTGCCCTGCCCTTCGGGATTGGCAACAGCAAAGGGAAGACTCTTTGAAAGCCAAGGTGTACAGACCACTGTTCAATGCGTGTCAGAGCGGCTAAAGGTGTTCCTGAGAGTCTACTGATCTTGGCACCTGATGCCCTGTTGGATGAACTGGAGGTCAGGTGTGAAGATGTCATCCAGTGCCCCCACAGAAGCCAGAGGTCCCTCTGATAGTCTGTGATCAAGCTCTCCCCTCCCTTCTAGTGCTGTAGGGGTGTCATCTCACTCCCAAGATAACAGGGCCACCTCAGCCCTCCTCCTGTGGCTATTCTGAGCCACTCTCTGATCCTCCTCTTCCCCTGGCCCCTAATTCACCCCTCAGTGGGAGTAAGTGGGTGGGGAAAGGACAGCCCACTTACATAAGCCTGTGACTGCGACCCCAGGGAGGCCAGCCTGGACAGCAGGTGCTCAGCCCCTCCCTCACCAGCGACAGAGAAAATCTTCAGCTGGAGGCCAGCATGGAGACAGCCCTGGAGGTAGCCTCAGGCTCCCAGCGGCAGGTGGAAGATGCCGGCCCATCGGATGCTGAAGGACCCCAGGCTTTACCTCGACAGGAGGCAGGCAGCCCTTCTCTGCAGCTCCTGCCCTCTATAGAAGGTGATCCATGACAGTGGGAAGGCTGCATGGTGGGGAGGGGAGGGGAGGGCTACCCTAGTACACCTCGGGAGGTTTTTGCAGGCTTTAACAACTTCACAGAACTGGTACTTAGGACACAGGAATATTCATGGGAGCTCTCGCCTTCCTTGATTGTGGCTTGCTACTCAAGTGTCTGTGCTATGTTATTTTATTTTAGCTGGGGAAAAAATCCGTGAATGATGCTTGTGGCACTTTACAGTGACTGACAATGATCTTTATATTTTTGCCATTAAAAACTGTCACAGGGCATAGGAGGACCTGGTAGATGAATGGCCAGTTGGGAAGGGACCAGGGTGAGATAGCAGCCATATGTAATAGAAGAAAGGGGCATCCAGAATTATGGCTGTGTAGGTTGAGTGTCTTGGGCAGCATGACACATGGCTTCTGCCTGGGTCATACAGAGCATTGAGACCTACCTCAACCCCCCACACTGGCTCCCCTGGCCTGTCAGATTCAGCTCTGTGGAACTAGAACCCTTTAGGGAGCAGCACTCCATTTCTGTTCTCCAGACGGAGAGAAATTTGGTGCCCCTTCCAGCATCTCCATCCTGTTACTTTCCCCAGTGCCAGCTGCCCTGACAACAAGGCCCCTTAGCTCACCTGGGAAGCCACTGGGAGCCAAACTTAAGTGTGTCTGTCTCCACAGCACCTGGCTCTTGACACGAGAGAGATGAGAAGCGACTCAGCTCTTCCCTTTTGTGACAGTCTTCCGAAGCCCTGTGGCTGTGCTAGACATTCAGCACAGCTGTTCAAAGCCCCAGCTTTCTGCCCCCTTAAAGTCTTAATTGCAAAAGATTCAAGACTACAAATGAGAAAATCTACAAACTCCCAAGAAGGCAAGAGGCAGGAGAAGATAAGGCATCCCAGACTGGCAAGCCAAAGGTCTGGGCTCCATTCCCAGTGCTGCCTCCAGCAGCTCGGTGACCTTGGACAAGTCAATTTAACTGCTCAGCTTCAGTTTCCTCCTTGTAAAAATAATTAATAAACATCTACCTAGCAGGCCACTGGGAAGGATCACTGAGGTCATCCAAAGTGCATTGGAAGAGGCTAGGCCAAAATGGGAACGTTTCCAAGAAAGGAATGAGATCCAGTTCTGTCTTCAAATAGGGTCTTGAAGCACAGCTGCCCACCTCTTATCCTAATATACTAGCCTAATGGGAGCTGCTTGAAGGTCAAGGATAGAGAGTTGGTGGGTGGAGTTTATCTCATTGCAGAAGAGGTAGCGTCATTGTGACCATACTAAGCTGAGATGATGGAGACAGAAAACTACCTTCTTCCTCTAAAAGTTTGCAGGGAGATGTCATTGGTGGAGGACAGAGCCAGGAGCACTAACTCCCCAGCTCCTGGTCTCTGCTTTCCTGGGGACAGCATGCATATCACCCAGGCTTTGCTTTTGCTGAGAAGAGGACACTATGGGCAGCTAGCTCTGACAGTCCCTGGCTTCAGGCCCAGCCCAAAGCTCCATGCAGGCATTGGGGCCATAGCTAGTGGCTCAGCCCAGTGGTTTCCTAGAGGTGACTAGCAGTAAGGACAGCCTCTGACACATTGCAAGCATGGGTGCATCTATTAGCTGCTTAGAGGAAGACAGAGTTCAACTCATAGCTCCTCCATCTTGCCACCCTTAGAAGAATGAGTCCACCTCTCCAAGAGGCCTTCATTTTCTCATCTGTAAATTGAGAAGGCTGAACTTAGTCAATGTCCTACCTTGTTGATGGCTGTGGCCCCCAGAAAAAAAAAACTGATAAAATCTGTAGACTGTCACCCTGGGAAAATACACCAAAAGAATTTGTGCAGCTCACAGAACCCATCCAACAGTCCTGAAAGGGGGCTTGGGCCTAGATTTGAGGACTCCCAACTTCCCTGAGAGTTCAAAAACTTATTAGCTTCCTAAAGCCTCATCTTCCTCATAGAGGGCCCCAGGGTCTAAGGAGTATTGCAGGGAGCATATGAGCACAGGGGAAGCCAATCAGGCAGAAATTAACTGGCAAGATCAACAAAATGCATCTGACTAACAATGGGCTTTCAGTCCAGCTACGTGGCCAAATCGGCAGGAAGATGCAGCTGGCACTGGTACCAATTCTGTGTCCTTATCACAGCATGGAGTACCAATTTTGTGTCCTTAGCCCAGCACTGAGACACTGTGTCCTGGAGACAAAGCCTGCAGGGGCCAAAGGTGAGGCTGGGGAAGGGGCTGTACCCCCGAGGTAGAGAAGATAGGGCCCTTAGCCAGGCGTGGTGGTGCACATCTTTAATCCCAGCACCTGGGAGGCAGAGGCAGGCGGATCTCTGAGTTCAAGGCCAGCCTGGTCTACATAGTGAGTTCCAGGACAGCTGTGGCTACAGGGAGACCCTGTCTCAAAAAGACCAAAAAAAAAAAAAAAGAGAGAGAGAGAAGATGGGGCCCTTAGAGAAAGGAAGATCAGCTGCTAATTTCAACAGAATTGCTCCAAGCGACTATGCACCTACATCCAATCTGAACTGCTGAGTGTCTTCCAGGCTGGGAACCTGAATCTCATGCCTGAGAGGAGCAATCATTTCCTTCCTTCCTTTCTTCTTTCCTTCCTTCTTCCCTTCTTCCATCCTACCTCAAATATTTATTTTTCTGTCTATTACAAGGTGGATACTGTCCTAGGTGCCAGTTACAGAAGTGAACAAAATCTTAAAAATGTTGCCCTTAAGATATAGTCTAACAGAGAGAGATAGACAAATAAGAAGTAAAATATATTGGGGTTGGGGATTTAGCTCAGTCATAGAGTGCTTGCCTAGCAAGAACAAGGCCCTGGGTTCAGTCCTCAGCTCCAGAAAAAAAAAAAAACAACACAAAACAAGGCAACAAAAAGTAAAATATATTATCTGTCAGATGATACCAAAAGGGATACCAGAGAGACAGAAAGTTCTGGGGGTAGGGAGCATGCAAATATCTTCTTTCAAGCAAGATAGTCAGCAAAGGCCCCACAAATAAGGTGCTATTTGAGCAACAATGTAGTGGATATTTATGGGGAATATTTTCTATGCAGACAGAACAGAGGTTCTGAGGTAGGAATGTGCTTTGTGTGTTGGATGGCTGTGGTTGCAGCACGGCAAAGGACAGTGCCTGGACTGAGGGGCAGAGGGTAAGCCATTTGCTCTAGTTTGTTTCTTCATTGCTGTGACAAAACACTCTGACCAATACCAACTTGAGGAAGAAAGAGTCTATTTGGCTCACATCTCCTGGGTCACAGTTCATCACTGAGGGAGCCCAAGGTAGGAACTCAGGGCAGGAACCTGGAGGCAAGAGCTGGAGCACAGGCCATGGAGGAATGCTGCTTACAATACAGGACCATCTGCCCAGGGGTGGCACCACTGACAGTGGGCTGGGCAATCCCACATCACTCAACAATCAAGAAAATGCCCCACAGACAATGGCCGTAGAATAATCCAATGGAGGAAATTCCCCAGTTGGAGCTCCCTCCACCCAGGAATGTCAGGCTGACAACTAAAGCTATCCAGCACACCATTGTAAAGAATTGAGTTGATTCTGAGATGGATGGGCAGCCAGTGCAAGGTTTTGATTAAGGACTGGCACACTCAGGTGTAAGTTTTAGGGTTTTTTTTTTTTTCTGGGTATTGTGTCAAGAGTGGATAGTGGGTATTTCTTAGACAGTAACAAGATCATCAGCTGAGCATGAGAAAGAATAGCAGAGTATAGAGGTTTTAGAAGAGGAACCACAGATGACATGAGCTAAGGCCATCTGATAGATTTGTCAGGGCCATCAGGCATGGTGGCACACCCTATAATCTCAGCATTTAGGAGGATGTCACGCCTGTCTTGGTGGCACATTTCTTTAATCCCAGTACTCAGGAGGCAGAAGCAGACAGATCTCTGTGAGTTCAAGGCAAGCCTGGTCTGCATACAGAGTTCGAGGCCAGCCAGGTTACACAGTGATACCCTGTTTAAAAGACAAAAAATTATCAGGGTTCATCTGGGGGCAGTTCTCTGATAATGGCCATCCAATTTGAATCAGAATGTTTTAAAAAATTACTTTGATAACCAATTCCATTTCAATAGATGACTTACATATTGTCATCCACACTTTGCATTTGGAGTTCTCAGAGGCTGAGGGATTCATGGCAGGGTGGGACTTTGATGCCTCCTTTCTAAGGTATCATGTCATATATATTTTTTTATTTATTCTTTGAGAATTTCATGCATGTATACAATGTATTTTGATGTCATGTAATTTTTTTTTTATTTTCTCCCCCAATGCTTGTCTGTGTGGACACTGAGTGTGTGGAAGGTGCTAGAGAGACTGGTGGGATAAACATGCCTTGGTGGCCCCACAGAATTGCAATGTCACAGCATTCAGGAATGAAAACCAAAGGAATAGAGTCAACATGGGTTAGTGGGTACTAGCTGATGAAAAAAACATCTCAGAAACAATGGGTGTTTCTTGCTTGCTGGCATGACAGAAAACAAGGGACCCTATTCAGTAGGTAGTTCACTATGCAGCGATTCAGGGACACTGGCCTTTTCCTATGGGGCTTTGCCACTTGAGGACCTTGTGATCCTCTGCCTTTAGACAGCAGAAGGGGGAACACAGAGTAGTCACTTCTTACAAGCCCTGCCACCAAAACAAGTCTCACCTGTTCCACTCACTGGAGAGAATTAGTCTCATGGACTACACCAAGGGACACTAGGAAATGTGCCTGGTGGGGCAGTCACTGCTCAGAGATCACTACATTGTGAAGAAATCACATCAGATTTGGTGGCCAAGGAGCTGTGTCTGTTATAGAGGTGGTAGGAGAGCAGGACACTTCCAAGTCAGATCATAGAGAGGCTACAGTTCAGGGTCTAGGGATGACGACAGGGTCTGATGGCTGAAACAGGTGTTGAACTGCTGAGTGAGATGTGAGTGGACCTGCAGGGGCTGAAAAGACGGATGTTGATATCACCAGGACTTATGAGTGGAATGTGACACAGGCAGTGAGCCAGGGCTGAAGCCACCAAGCCTGAGAGCAGGACTGTGACAGGCAAGGCATGATGGTGTCTTTATCCCAAAGTGTCATCGGCTTCCATGTCATTTGCTTTTTCTGGTCTTGCTTCAAGGAGGTGACATTCTCATCCTTTTCAAGGTTCTTCTGAAGTCTTCGCACTCTTTTCCCACCACAGTCCTCCAGGCAGGTCTCTAAGGCCAAGGCCATACCCTAGCTACCTGCAAATGTTTCTCTAAGAAATTCTGGTACTTGCTTCTTGAATTCCTGAAAATATTTAGTTTCAAAGCCATAGTTGGCATTGACCATTTGCTCTTATTTTGATAGTCATTTGCTCACACATGTATGTGTTTATGTGTGCACTCATACAAGCTTGCACATGTACTTGCAAACATACACACGCACATGTACCACTCATATAGACACACATATACTTGATCACCCCTCTCCAATGTGTCTTCTCCTTCCTTCCGTGCTTAATAGTGTTGTATGAACCACATAGGCTTGGGAGATTGCTGGAAGAAAGTCTCTGACCATGCGGAAGGAAATTACAAGAGGATATGAACAATTATTTCCCATGAGAGTAGAAACAAAATGGGCAAAAATTTGAGCAGATTAAAATTAGATGGTAGGAGAGCCGAGATCTTTGGACTTGAAATAATTTACATTTTTTTTAAGAATTAGATGGTATTCTATTGGAGAGAAAAAATGCTGAGAACAACAGCTCAGAAGTCAGTGGCTCACAAACAACTTCAAAATGCTTTTCCCCTAAGAGTACAAGGGAAGAAAAGCAAACTGTGGTCATCACAGACCTGGTGTAAGAAAACTGAAGCTCTGCCCTAGGTCTCCGGACTCTGAGTCATCTGTCACCTTGTATCTGAGGAGGAAAAGCTCTTGGGCTTGAGGGGGAAGCCTCTCCAAGGTCAGTCCAATTTACACCTTACTTGACTATGGAGGTGTGAAAAGAGATACCTCCAAGGAGCCCTCAGCCATCATTCTGAGCAAAGGGTCAGATTGCTTCCCAGGTTGAATTGAGGTGACCGAGAACTCACTGCTGCTCACTGGGCACCTGGAGCGGCCAGACCTTTCCTATAGCCTAGCATTTGGTCACCCTCAAGGCCATCTATGGCTCCTCTATGGAGTCTCTTCATCCACTCACCCTGGGACACCCTAGTGACTTCAGTACCATCATCTTGTCAGGGAATCCCACTCATAAATAAAGAGCAACTGAGAGCCCTTCAAGAAGAAAGGCTGCTTCCTCCACCTCATCACCTCTCCCTCAGCCTTGCTCCTCTGGCTCTGCCCCAACTGGGATCCCTTGAGACCTCAAAGGCTGCTCTATAAATCCTCCCAGTTTACCTCACCTGAGTTTATGTTCTACATAAACCTACTCCTTTAATTTTTCTTTCTAGTTCTGGTGATAGAATGCTAACATTTTCCAAGATATTTTTCTAAGGAACAGAAGTGCCAGTGGAAACAGACATCAGCACACATCTGTCAGTAAAAGTCCAGAACTGGTCCTGGGGGCTAGGCAAAGTAGGACTCAGTTGATATGTCTCCCAGGCATGAGATCTGGTTCCTGTTCTCACCTCAACCCTTCTCGATACTGCCCTCCCTTCTTGGCCCGTTTCTCCAGATCACTGGGGGTCATGTCAGGCCCTGGCTCTCACACCCAGGCCCAGGGACACTGGTGAGGGCAAGAGACTGGACAGATGAGCCATGCTTAGAAAATGGGTCCTTTGGACATCCAATCCCAGCTAGGGAGTCCTGGGTGCCAGGCACAACTCCACACCTAGCCTGGAGATCAGCAAATCAGTGTCTCTCTGAGTCCGCTCCCCTCCAGTTGGCTAGTTTTTCTGGATACCCACCAAGATCCTTTTTAACCCTGATACTCTGTAGACAGCACAGGGACAAGCAGAACCCTCTCCTTGGCAAGTATGAAAGGTTATTTCCCCACCCAACAAGGGAGAACCAAGACCAAAAAGATGAGCTCCTGACCCTCCTTTTCAATTACTTCCCTCCTTTTAAAAAAAACCCTCACTCACATCCGCCTGTGTTCAACGCCTTGGTTGCTTGCCAAGGTGGCTGCAGGAGAGGAATGCATCGTACAACACTTCTGTTGTTCCCACCCCTTCCCCCAGCCACCAAAGTCATCAGAGGGCAGCCAGAGCAGGGTCACTGGGTAGCCTGGCCTCCATGGCCACCCTGTTCTTACTGAGAACATTCACATCCCCTTAGTACATAGCTCCCAAGGTGCAGACCAAATCAGGCCCAGCCCAGGTGACAGCCCACACAGCAAAAACAGAAACTAGATAAAATGAGATGATCATTGGGCACTGTATTTATATTTATTTATAAAGGATAAGTGATCTGGAGATCATAATGGGGAAGGATAGTCTACAAACAGAAGAACATAGTACAACTTCTGTTTATTTTCTTTTAACTGTCATCACTTAAAGAGTTGCTTTATACAACGTGTGTATTTTTTAATTTGCTTTTATTTATTTGTTTTTATTTTATGTGTATGAGTATTTTGCCTACATATGCATGTAAGTACACCCATATGTACAAAGCTCTTGGAGGCCAGGAAAGGGGGATGGATCCCCTGGAACTGTTAGTTACTGACCATTGTTAGCCCCCATGTGGGTGCTGGGAACTAAACCTGGGTCCTCTGCAAGAGCAGCCAGTGCTCTTAACCACTGAGCCATCTTTCCAGAACCATGATGTGTATATTTAAACAGTTCAATCTATAAGCAAACATACTTGTGTTGGGATAAATGTGCAGAAATGTACTCTCAGGAAATGTGTGTTATCAGAAAGCTTGGAATATACTGTCAAGCACTCATGCTGTCTGCCACAGGAATGTACCAGGGGTGGAATTTCTTCAACTGCTCTAAATGAATTTTGGCAGGAAGGTCTGCTTTTGGGGGGGAACTGAAGGTCTGGGTTTTTGGTCACATTTTACTTAAGACAACAGCAGCATGGGACTACCTTTGAGAAAGGAGGAAACAGCAGCCCAGGAAAGGCTGCAAAATGGTCCTCAAGGGAGCCAGGTGGGATGTCTGCACTTCCATAGCCAAAGTAGCTGGCAGCATCCTCAGGACACCTGGTCTCCAAACCCTGCTCTCAGCACTTCCCAAATCATCTTTTGTCACATCCTGAAAGCTACTCTCCCACTCTCACTGGGACAGGCCTGGACAAGGGCAAGTGAGAAATGGCCCTCATCTTTGTCAGATTTTGCTTGTGCAAAGCAATCCACTACCAACTGGAAGACTGCCACACTAGCACCAAGGAGCAGGGTGGCCACAGAGAGGAAGGGACCCAGACACACTCCCCCCCGCCCCCATGACTTCAGCATTGTCTCAGTGGAAAACTAGAGTGTTGACTTTCCCTGCAGAGCAGAAAGCCTTCTGTTGTGGCTGCACCCAACTGGGAGGTCAGATTCACAAGGACAGAGACCTTGATCCAAGCAATGTTATTAAAGACCAAATTACTGGAAGACAAACCATGAAGACTGGTCTGTGCAAGAAAGAAACAAAATCCCAACTGATGGAGAAAGTCAGTGGCTGAGAGTTATAAATTAAAAGGTGTCCAGCGTTTTGGGGGAATCTTGGTATTCTATTAACCCAGGGTCTCACTATGCAGCCTAGGCTGGCCTCATCCTGCCTCAACTTGCTGAGTGCTGGGATTGTAGGTAGACACCACCACATTCGGCTCTCCCCACCCTCCTGTGTTCTTTCTGCAAACTTTAACTTTTGGGGCTTCAGCCAATTGATTCTCCCTGGATCTCAGCACAACAGAGGGGCGGGGGGAGCAGGCTGGGCATGTGGCTTAATGCCAGAACACTAGCATATTGAGACACCTAGGTTTGACTCCCCGCTCCCCCAGCACAAGGCAAGGGGCTAGGACCATTTCCCAAGATAAGGGCTTGATTTGAAAGACAGGCAACCATCCACAGAGCACTATTGGATGCAGTATCTACTTCCTCTTTGCACCTGTCTCCTCTTCTCTATCACTCAGAGCACCCCAAGATCTGGCTACCTCGGGCCCTAAGGCAGACTTACATCCGGAAGGTTGGGGACACAGTGAATCTACTAATTCCATTCCAGGTGATCACATCAGCCCCATGCTGGAACCAGGCCAAGGTTTTGATTTGGAAGCAGAGCTAGGAGTGAGGTGGTCTTCCTGGCCTCGAATAGGAGAAGCCATGGCCACAGAGAGCCATTCTACACTCTTAAAGACAGGTTTGGCTAGATCAGATGTGCCCCATGAGAGGAAGTAAGGCTAAGCCAGACCCTGCAGTCTATGGAGATGGGGAAGCCCTCAGTTTCAGAGGGCTCTTAATGGGTTTGGGCAGCGTATTCAGTTGATCCCAGCTGGCCTGAGTTATCAATGTTCTAACCTCTCAGAGGGTGGAAGGCTCAAAGCCTACAAACCATGATCTTTGAGACCAGCTGCTGAAAAGAGGAAGCTCCCTGCAATACCTGTACCTCAAGGAATTTGCAGTTGCAAGTCAAAACATGCTATGGCCCTGGGCTAGATTGACTGTGGCAAATGGGGAGGGTCTGTGAGCCTTTGGGGACTGCTCAAGCTTTATCCTCACTGTTCAGGGTAAGCCCAAACCTCAAGCTACCTGGACTCACAATGGCTGTGCCCTGGACAACAGTCGTGTGAGTGTGAGGAATGGGGATCGGGACACCATCCTTTTCATCAGAGAAGCCCAACGTGCTGACTCAGGATGCTACCAACTCCGTGTGCAGCTGGGTGGACTGGAGGCCACTGCCACTATCAATATCTTGGTGATCGGTAAGGTAGGGAAGTGGGAGGAACAGTGGTTCCCGGGAGCTCTGGGCTGAAGAGGAGCCATTTCAGAGAGTCTGGGACACAGTGGTGGGAGATGGGAGGGGTCTGGATGGAGAAAAGGGGCCAGGGGCAGTCTGTGAGTGAATCAATGCCCCCTGCTATGGCTTTGCCCTTTCAGAGAGGCCAGGCCCTCCTCAGAGTATTAAGTTGGTGGAAGTTTGGGGCTGCAGTGCTACTCTGGAATGGACACCTCCCCAAGATACAGGCAATATAGCCCTCCTGGGATACACAGTGCAGAAGGCTGACACAAAATCTGGGGTGAGGCCCTGCTGGGAAGGAGGGAGGGAGGAATGGGGCATTTTGGAATGAGCCTCCGGCAGCTCCATAAGGGATGAGATTTAAAAAAAAATAAACAGGTGTCTCATGCATGGAATCTTCTGGGGATCCCTGTAGCTGTGGTTCACAGTGCTGGATTGTTATCACCGTACCAGCTGCATCATCTCTGACCTCATCATTGGTAACTCCTATGCCTTTCGAGTCTTTGCTGAAAACCAGTGTGGGCTCAGTGAAACAGCCCCTGTCACAGCTGACCTTGCCCACATTCAGAAATCAGGTAAGGATGATGTAGAGACCATGTGCTGGCAAGACTTAAACAGCTGAAGAGGGATAGGGAACTCAGGGACCTCATCATAGCCCCTCTCTGTGCCCACAGCTACTGTTTACAAGACCAAGGGGTTTTCCCAGTGGGACTTCTCAGAAGCCCCCAAGTTCACCCAGCCTCTGGCTGACTGCACTACAATCACTGGCTATGACACCCAGCTCTTCTGCTGCGTGCGTGCCTCTCCCAGGGTGAGTGGAAAGTTCTGGGGGTGGCGGTGCTGAGCTCTGAGCTGCTCCCTCCTACTGTCCTAACCTGAGCTATGTCATAGAGCATTCTAATTGAACATCTGCTACCATTACTACCATCTGCCTCCTCAACAGCAGGTTACTTAGGAACTGTCAGGACATCTATAATTCAAGATGTAAATGATGAAAATGATGTTCCCTTTGAGTGTTGGGTCCTCATGTGCAAAGACATCTGGCAGAAGTGTCTGACTCCCACTGGCTTCTCTTTATTCACTCCCCATGCCTTGTCTGAGCAGGGCCATGTGCATGCATGCTGCTCTATTTACAGTCTGGTCACTGTAGTCCACGGCATTAACAACCTTTACCATGTAACTTGGGTTATAAGTACAGGTCAGACTAAATGCAGGTAACATCTTGGAAGGAGAATATTGATAAATCTGTTCTAGAAACTACTTTCTAAACTGAGGAGACAGAACCCACACTCAATCTAACAGTTGGGGATAGGATATTAGTGGTTCACAACATGTACATAAATGTGGAGACCCCAGGTTGGGTGTAGCTGATGGGTTAAGGTGTTTTTTCCTAAGCCTGATGGCCTGAGTTCAATCCCTGGGATCCACATGGTGAAAGGAGAGAACTGACTCCCTGAGCTGGGCATGGTGGTGCACGCCTTTTATTTATTTCTTTTTTAATGCAAAAAAAGAGTATTTTATTATGGTAGCACTAAAGGGAAAAAAATCAAAACCACTGTATTTCTACATTGAGGTGCAAACAATGTTTAAACTTTGTCAATGCAATACATTCCAAAAGAAAGTATGTTATAAAGGTTCCAGAGCACAGGCAAGTCTTAACACAATAGGTACAGGAATCCATAATACTGAAAATGACTGTTTTGACAGGGTGTTCAACAAACATAATTTATTAAACCTGTGAAACAATCCCTTCCTAATCAGTGTCAACAGTGAAACTGGGCTTGTTCCATTAATACTCTAATGATTTTATTTAATGCTTTTTACTGCTGTGACAGTTCTAAATAAATCTTGCTGTACTTAAAATAAGCTTTGAAAGTGGAAAAGTGTACAAAGTTTCAGATTTAAAAAATTAACAGATGCAATTTAAATAAAATTTCCCCTTTTCTATCCCAGCACTCGGGAGACAGAGGCAGGCAGGTATCTGTGAGATCAAGTCCAGCTTGGTCTTCATAGGGAGTTCCAGGTCATCCAGGGCTACCGGGAGATCCTGTCTCAAAACAAACAAACAAACAAACAAAGTAAGGACCCTGATGCCCAGCACTTATGAACCACAATGGCTCCTTGAGCACTTTCTTCTGGTCAGGGATACTTGGTGGAAAAGGGGAGGATTCAGGCACTCTTCAAACATGAGAAGGAGCCTGAGTGGTTGTTGAAGATTCTGAAACAGCAGTTCCTTCCCACAACATGAGGGACAGGGAGCCTTCTAGAAAGCCATCATCTACAAACCATGTAGGCAGAGTCCCACTGAGCACAGAAAGGACAATTGGCTCTCACTCTCCTTTGCTGCCCCCTCCCATCTTCATCCTCCAGCCCAAGATCATATGGCTGAAGAACAAGATGGATATCCAAGGCAACCCCAAGTACAGAGCCCTCAGTCATCTGGGGATCTGCTCCCTGGAAATCCGCAAGCCTGGTCCTTTTGATGGAGGCATCTATACCTGCAAAGCCATTAATGCCCTGGGGGAGGCATCCGTGGACTGTCGGGTGGATGTGAAAGGTAAAGACAGAAGAACTGGTGCCTTGAATGCCAGTCATGTCCTCTTCCTACCTCCATCAGTGGCAAAGTCAGCAGTCAGAGACATAAGCATAGATGGGAAGGGCCTCCCTTCATCATATTACTTGTTGCAGTGACCACAGAAATAACTTGAGGAAGCATTTCTTTGACTCATGGTTTGAAGGCAGTCTACTGTGTCAGGAGAAGCATGTCAGACTGGCTGTTGGCAGTGGAAGGGGGAGCTCAAGGCTGCTTCCTCACATCTGGACAGTTCAGGAGGCAGACAGAGATGAATGCTGGGGCTCATTGGGTGTTCTACTTTTATGCAGTCCAGGTCTTGGCCAATGGGATGGTGCCAGTTAAGTTTAGAGTAGATCTTTGCTCCTCAGTTAAAGCTGTCTGGAACAGGCTCACAGGCTCAGACATGCCCAGAAGTGTGTCCCTAGGTGACTAAATGCGGCAATCTGACAATCATGATCAATTATCACAATTATCCTGGCCTTGCATCACCTTCACCATTAGGATACATTAGAGGAACCCATTTTATTACCCAAGTTTTCATTCTCTCCATCATAATTCTGTAATACAAGAAGCATACATATTTCCATTTTGTAAAGGACAAGTCTGAAGCAGGAGGAGGTAACTGTTTTACCTATGGTGTCCAGTGTTGGTTAGCTGGGGAGCTGGCACTACAGAGGACAAGAGCCCAAGTCCCCTGGTCCTCACTCAGATCACTTCTCTTTAAGCTCTATGATCTTCTGTCATAGTCTGGGAAAGCTGCAGGCATTTGTTGGCTTTGTTTTACTTTCCCCTCTGGCTTGCTTAAGGTAGCATTGCATACCCTTCCTTCCCATTTAAGGCCTTCATTCATTTATCCACTCTTGGAATTGCCATCATTACACTTAGCATATTATTGAGGTTTGTAGTTTTATTTATTTATTTTTTAATATAACTTTTCTTTGTGCTTCAGAATGCCATACATATTTATATGAATGAAATATGACCATATCAGCATATTGTTTTATAATTATCTACTTGCAAGTTTATATCCCCATTAAATTATAAGCCTGAGAGCTGGGACAGTGTCATTCACCTCTGCTCCCCAGTGTTTAGCCTAGTTTCTGAAACATAGAAAACTGTGTTAAATATCTGTTACATAAATCAGGAATGAACAGGCCATATGAGACTATTCTCCTTTATGTATAGACTCCTTAACCAGCACCATGGACTCCCCCAAAGCCCAGAGGTTTCTGAGATGTTAACATTGAGAAACATCTGCTTTCTTCCAGCTCCTTACTAAGGCTGCCCCTAGAGAACCTGACATCTGAGAAAGGTGAGGAAGGACCGAAAGATGTCTGGATGGATTACATGCTCAGGGCAAGTACTGTTGAGTTTGGGATGGATGTGTATTGTGATCCTCTCAACCGTGTGCCCCTGGTGACCCTTCTTTAAAGCTACCATTATCACTTCTGTGGAGGGAACTGCAATAGAGGAACTCTATTTTTGTCATATCCTCTGTGTGTTTCTAATTCCCCAAGTCTATGACAGAATGGAGTCCTAATGGTTCTCTGAAGAGTGGGAGCTTCTATCTAATCATGGGGGAAGTGGGGCTCTGTGGAAGGAGCTGGGAGGGGAACAGACAAGAGTCCACTACCACAGATTGCAGTGTGGGCAGAGAAAAGAGGCTGTTCCTGTCCATCAAGTGTTCCTACCTCAGTACCATAAGCAGGGCAAGAAAGAAAATAGCCTGCTTATATTTTATTTTGAATTGTATGCATTTCTTCCCGTTCAATAGACGAAAACCATCATTTTCATTATATGTCAATAATTATTTCACATTTGGGAATGTGTTTTCCAAGCTGCCCATCACTGGCAAAGGGCCATTTGGATCATTATTAATAATCATTGAGAGCTGCTTCAACTTCTACATCATTCCCATGAGAAATGCTGTATATAAACTGATGAGTAAGGTAAAAGAGAAGCTTGGGATGGAGTGACAGAGAACCAGCTCAGAACGTCCCCTCTGGCTTGCAGCTTCTGGCTGAGAAAAACTGAGCACGAATTCGATCCCCTAAGCCATTTACTTAAGCCCATCAGTGATAGGCGGCAAATGAAAACCCTAAGGGCTGCATTAAAAGCACAAACTCTCCTCAGGAGAGCGCTCTCTGCCAGCTGGCTTACAGACATTCCTCTCCTTCCCCGTCCTCTCACTCAATGCCATGTTGGCTTGATATATTGGTGTTAGTTGCCCTTGGTTCTCTTCCCTCTCACAGCCTATGCTCAGCAAGAAGGCAGGCTGAGCAGTGAATCATAGCACTGAACCCAGGCACATGAAGAGAGATGGTCTCCACACATCCCAGATGTGCTCTGGCTGTGGTGGTTACAACACTTCTCTTTTCAGGGCCTCTTGGAGCCTGACTGTGACAAGACTGTCTTCTAAAGGAGCTTCAGCACAATTACCTGGCTTGGCCTAATCTAAATAAATGTGTGGACCCTCTATTCTTTTTTTTTCTTAATTATTTACTTTTATTTTATGAGTGTTAACGCTTGCATGTATGTAAGTACACCCATGTTGTTCGATGCTCTCAGAGGTCAGAAAAGGGTCTTGGATCCCCTTGAACTGGGTTATGGACAGTCGTTAGCCGCTGTGTGAGTACTGGGATTTGAATCAGAGTCTTCCGCAAGAGCAGCCAGTGTTCTTAACCAGTGAGCCATCTCTCCAGCCTTGGATCCTCCATTCTTAAATATCCTCTTTTTTGTTTGGTTGGTTTTTGAGACAGGGTCTTCTTACAGCTGGCCTGAAACTCCCTACGTAGACCAGGCTGGCCTCAGTATCACAGAGAGCCACCTGTCTCTGCCTCCTGAGTATAAATGTCCACTTTTTGAACTTCTCTGCACGGTGAAAAATATCTGGAAGGTTGAAGTCCTTCAGCTAGACTACAGAATCCCACAACCCTAACATTCCTCTTTTTCTTTTGGTCTCTCATATGCACACATTCTCTTCCACACAACCTTTCTTTCTCCCCCCGACACCTTCCCGCCCCCCTCCTCCTCCTCCTCTTTTTCCTTCTTCTTTACAAGGTCTCATATATCCCAGCCTGGCCTCAAACTCAATATGTAGCCTACAATAACCTTGAACTTCTGATCTTCCTGCCTGCACTTCCTGAGTGCTGGGATTACAGGCCTGCATCACCACACCCAGGTAATGGGGTCCTGGGGGTTGAAGCCAGGCCTTCATACATGCTAAGAAGCACTCTACCAATGGAGCCACATTCCCAGCCCATCCACAGAGGTTTCTGATATTGTCCTTTACCCTGGACAGTCTATGACAGAACTGAATTCAGTTCTACACAGCATGAGGTGCTGGAAAGAGATGAAGATGATTTGTTGTCTTTCCATTGTAAGCTGACAGAACAAGCTGTACAACTATCTCAAAACTAGCAGCCCAGCACATACCTATATAATGAATTAAAGGTAGAGCCTTAAGACCTGGGGACTGGGATATTGTTTCCCTTGCTTCTATTTGTTTTCATTCCTATTACAAATCATGCATTGAAGATATTCTTTGATTTAATCTACAAAAGCTAGCAACAGCTCCTCCCATTTCTGTGTGGCCATTGCACTCTTCTCAAGAAAGCCTCAAACTCAGGGCTAGAGAGATGGCGCCTCCGTTAAGAATACTTGCTGCTCTTGCAGGGCACCAGGGTTCAGGTCCCAGCACTGACATGGCAGCTCACAAGTGCCTGTAACTCCAATTCCAGGGCCTTTGATGACACCCTCTTCTGGCCTCTACAGGTACCATGTTCACATGTGGTGAACATATATAACTGCAGGCAATCACACATACACATAAAATAAATCTTTTAAAAAAGAGCCTCTTGGAAGAGCTGATCTTCTTAAAGGGAGGGACTCTAGATATGCTGACTAGATCCCAGTGGATGAACTCGCACTGAGGGACATCTGGAGACACTAACTTGACATGATAGGACTTAACACAATTGACAGAATGTATGAATTCCAGTGGGGGGGCTATTGGGAGGGGGTCAATGGGGAAGGGGATATAAAGATGATTAAGATGTTCTGTTTGAAATACACAAATATTTTTTTTTAAAGAGCCTCATTGGGAGCTGGAGAGATGGCTCAGTGGTTAAGAGCACTAACTGCTCTTCCAGAGGACCCGGGTTCAATTCCCAGAACCCACATGGTGGCTACGAACCGCCCTTAACTCCAGTTCCAGGGGAATCAGAAGCCCTCTTCTGACCTCCACGGCATTGCACGACATGGGTGCACTCACATACATGCAGGCAATACACTCATACACATAAAATAAAAATAAAATATTTTTTTTTAAAAAAAAGGCTGGGCATGGTGGTGCACGCCTTTAATCCCAGCACTCGGGAGGCAGAGGCAGGTGGATCTCTG